AGAGACAGAAGCAGAGCTGCCCAAAGCTTTGGGAGCCCACCCCTTGCACCAGCGTTCCCTGGAGGTGGTACATGGAATAAAAGAAGATTATTTTGGAGCCTTCAGATTTAATGACTGCCCTTCTGGGTTTCGGAGTTGCATGGGGCCTGTAACCGCTTTCTTTTTTCAATTTCTCCCTTTTGACAAAGTTTTGTTTACCCAATGTCTATACCCACATTGTACCCTGTCAATAACTAACTTGTTTTTCATTTTACAGGCTCATAGGCAGGAGGGCCTAGCTTTGTCTCAGATAAGACTTCAGACTGTGGACTTTTGAGTTAATGCTGAAATGAGTCAACACTTTGGGGGAATGTTGGGAAGACATGATTGTATTTTGCATTGTGAGAAAGACATGAGATTTGGGAGGGGCCAGGGGCAAATGATATGTTTTGGATCTGTGTCCCAAACCAAATCTTATTTTGAAGTGTAATCCTTAATTTTGGAGGTGGGGGAAGTGATTGGATCATGAGGGTAGTTGCTCATGGTTTAACACCATTCCCCTTTGGCGTTGTTTTCATGAAGTGAGTTCTTGTGATACCTGGTTGTTTAAAAGCACATGCCACCTCCCCTCTTTCTCTTACTCGTGCTCTGGCTATGTAAGAGGAGACACTTCCCCTTTGTCTGTTGCCATGATTGTAGAATTCCCCAGGCTTCCCCAGATGACAATGGCCAGCATCATGCTTCCTGAACATCTTGTGGAACCATGAGCCAATTAAACCACTATTCTTTATAAATTATCCACTCTCAGATATTTCTTTATAGCAATGAAGGAACAGACTAATACAACGTACATGAAGATTTCAGCATTAGGCTTGGCAGAATTTACATGCTAAATATGTGTTTGTTAAACATAAGACAGAGAGGCACCTACATGATTCTCATATAGTTCTAGTTGTCTTTAGGTGGTCTGACACTTTAGGGTAAATTTTATAAAAGCAGTGAACCCAAAACAAGAATTGAGGATCTATCAAACCTAAAAATAGAACTTATTTAGATGCATAGGTAAAGAAACCACACACAGCAAGAAGGTTCAATAGGGTCTGCTTGGTGAGGAGAAGGTTACTTCACCCATAGTACTTGCTCACCCCACAATGGGAAGTAATGGTGACACTAGCTCACACATCAGCACCTTCTCTCTTTAAAGCTCCTAGTTTTTAAAAAAATTCTCCCAGGTGTACAAAATACAGCATGAGTTTTCATCAGAGACTATTTATGTTGCAAGTCTTACTAGCTGACTGCAGCCACTTGGTCATGATGCCTGTGCACAGTGGACATTATATATTTGCTTGTGTCAAAAGCCCCATTTTCTAGGCCCTTCATTCCAGCTGATGGGACTTCATTGAGCAGATCAATAATGGAACAGACCTGAAACAGCCCTAATTCCTTAGCGTTGAACCACCACCAAGTCCACCTTTTTTGTTTTATTTTGTTATGAATTATGAGACACAATTGCCTGCAATGTGTTATTTTAATCCCTGGTGACATAATTTGGTTCTCTTTTTCTTATTTAAATAAACAAACATCACTCACCTGTCTTCTGGTAGTTTGCTGCATGCTTGATTATTTGGATTAAGCCATTTCAATTATTCAGATAGTTTATTTTAAGAGGAACAATATTTACGTGGACCTTGTATAAACATAGAGGGTTTTATGAATGTTACGAATACATATATGTTTTCCACAGAATCATGTCTAGCACTTGGATTATATCTTTTACAGGTCAAAAAACAATTAAAAAATAGCTTTTCCTGAGTATTAGTGCATGTATTTTTGTTCACTTAAAACATCTGTCTTTTGTCACCTTAGAAATCAGAACAGCTTGTAGCATTAAGATTTTGCCAGGAATTCATTTAAAAATAAGTAGGAATAGTAGGACCAAAGCATTTTTCAACAGATGGCACTTAGACTATCTAATTTAGCAATATATTTATTTTGTTTTTACAGAAAATTACCAGGCTAATGAGGGTGGTATAGTTTTCCCAAGTTCATGCGATCGATACCAAAATCCAGAATGTCTGAGTCTGTCACGTTTCTTGTATTAAAAGTCCCATTTTACTTACATTTTTAAAAGAAACATACAGAAATAGCTAATATTCCTGCTAAAGTAAAAATCAAATTGTTATCACTGCAATGTTATCTAAATATAAGAGCCTAATCTTGCCTAGGGAATGTTTTGCAGTTTCAAGGTTTAACATATGGAGCCATTCTTAAATCACACTTTCTGCATTTCTCAATTGTCTCAGAATTTGGAGAACTCATGGCTAGTACAATTATTATTAAACATAACTAGGTCCCTCACATTATATTTCCTAGAGTATTTAAATGAAAGAAGTCTTTCTCAGTGAAACTTAACCAGAATTCACAAAATAATTACTCTGTGCAGATAAGTGATGCATATAATATTTACTTGGAATGTTTTCTAAATTAATAATCATCTAGACAAAAAATGGATTTAAACACCATTTTGAGGAAGACCTGGGATTTCTACAGTGAAACATTAAGGATGCAGGGGAAACAAGGAGGTAACTGAGTGGTATGGCTTGGCTCTGTATCACCACCCACATCTCACCTTGAATTGTAATAATCCCCATGTGTTGTAGGAGGGACCCTTTGGGACGTAACTGAATTATGGGTGCAGGCTTTTCCTGTGATGATCTCATGATAGGGAATAAGTCTCATGATATCTGATGGTTTATAAAAGGGAGATCCCCTGCACATGCTCTTTCTTGCCTGCCACCCTGTAAGATGTGCCTTTCTCCTCTTTCGCCTTTTGCTGTGATTGTGAGGCTTCCTCATCCATGCAGAACTGTGAGTCCATGAAATCTCTTTTTCTCTAAAAATTACCCAGTCTCAAGTATGTCTTTATTAGCAGTGCAAAAACAGTCTAATACAGTAACCAGGTAGTGGGGTGCTGCTGTAAAGATATCTGAAAATGTGAAAGCAACTGGAACTGGGTAACAGACAGAGATTGGGAGAGTTTGGAGGGCTCAGAAGATGGGAAAATGTGGAAAAGTTTGGAACTTCCGAGAGACTTGAAGGACTCAGAAGACAGAATGGTGTGGGAAAGTTTGAAATTTCCTAGAGACTTGAAGGACTCAGAAGACAGAATGGTGTGGGAAAGTTTGAGACTTCCTAGAGACATGTTGAATGGCTTTAACCAAAATGCTGATAGTGATATGGACAGTAAAGTCCAGGCTGAGGTGGTCTCAGATGGAGATAAGGAACTTGTTGGGAGCTGGAGTAAAGATCACTCTTGCTATGTAAATAGACTGGTGGCATTTTGTCCCTGCCTTAGAGATCTGTGAAACTTTGAACTTGAGAGACATGATTTAGGGTATCTGGGGGAAGAAATTTCTAAGTAGTAAAGTGTTCAAAAGGGAGCAGAACATAAAAGTTTGAAAAATTTGCAGAGTGAAAATGTAGAAAGGAAAAGCCAATTTTCTGGGGAGAAATTCAAGCTGGCATCAGAAATTTGCATAAGTAATGAGGAGCCAAATGCTAATCACCAAGACAATGGGGAAAATGTCTTCAGGGCATGTCAGTGACCGGAATCCCTCCAATCACAGGCTCAGAGACCTACGAGGGAAAAAAAATGGTTTCCTGGGCCAGGTCCAAAGATCTCTGCTGTGTGCAGTCTTGAGACTTAGTGTCCTGTGTCCCAGCTGCTCCAGCTGTAGCTAAATGGGGCCAATATATAGCCCAGGCCATTGCTTCTGACAATGCAAGCCCCAAGTCTTGGCAGCATCCAGATGGTGTTGGGCATGTGGGTGCACAGAAGTCAATAATTGAGGTTTAGGAACCTCCGCCCAGGTTTCAGAGAATGTATGGAAACACCTGGATGTCCAGGCAGAAGTTTTCTGCAGAGGCGGGGCTCTTGTTGAGAACCTCTGCTAGGGTAATGCAGAAGGAATATGTGGGGTTGGAGCCCCCACACAGAGTCCCCAGTGGGGCACTGTGTAGTGGAGTTGTGAGAAGAGGGCAACCATCCTCCAGATCCCGGAATGGTAGATCCATTGACAGCTTGCACTGTGCACCTGGAAAAACCACAGACACTGAATGCCAGCCCACAAAGGCAGCAAGGAAGGAGGCTGAGCCCCATGAAGCCACAGGAGTGGAGTTTCTCGAGGCCATGGGAATGCATCTCTGGCATCAATGTGACCTAGATATGAGACGTGAAGTCAAAGGAGATTATACTGGAGCTTTAAGATTTGACAGCCCCTCTGGATTTCAGACTTGTATGAGGCCTGTAGCCCCTTCATTTTGGTCAATTTCTCCCATTTGAAATGGACATATTTACCCAATGCCTGTGCCTCCATTGTATCCAGGAAGTAAATAACTTGCTTTTGATTTTACAGGCTCATAGGCAAAAGGGACTTGCCTTGTCTCAGGTTAGACCTGGGAGCTGGACTTTTGAGTAAATGCAGGAATTAGTTAAGATTTGGGGGATTATCGGGAAGGCATGATTGATTTTGAAATGTGAGGACATGACATTTGGAAGGGGCCAGGAGTCGAATGATATGGTTTGGCTCTGTTTCCCTACCCAAATCTCACCTTGAATTGTAATAACCCCCATGTGTCATGGGAAGGACCCATTGGGAGGTAATTGAATCACTGGGGCAGGTTTTTACTGTGCTGTTCCCGTGATAGTGAATAAGTCTCACAAGATCTGATGGTTTTATAAAAGGGAGCTCCCTTGCACATGCTCTCTCTTGCCTGCCTCCATGTAAGATGTGCATTTCTCCTCTTTTGCCTTCCACAATGATTATGAGGCTTCCTTAGCCATGTGAGACCTCTTTTTCTGTATAAATTACCCAGTCTTGGGTATGTCTTCATTAGTAGCATAAGAACAGGCTAATATATCAAGTAAGCAAGTTGCGGAGCTTCCCTCCCTACATTCAAAAGGCCAATATAGAGTGACTTTAAGATCTGTTAATTACTTCTCTGACATTCTTTCCTTTTAGAGATGGAGCTTAATATCTCTCCCCTGGAAGGTGCGCTGGCCTTAGTGAGTCACTTGAAACAAACGGAATATGCCAGAAGTGACCATCTGGGTAATTTTTGAGACTGTCACAAAAAACATTGGGGCTTTTGCCTTTCTATCTCTTTGGGATCACTTACCATGGAAAAAGCCAGTTGTGATGTCATGAGGACATTTAGGCAGCCTTGTGGAGAGGTTCATGTGATGAAAAACTGAGACCTCCTGCCAACAGCCATGTGAAAAATGATCCTCCAGCCCTAGTCAAGTTTACTACAGCTTCAGTTTACTTCAGTTTACTTCAGTTTACTACAGCTCTAACCTGTATTATTAACCAAAGTAGAACCCTAGGTGCCACAGTTCCATTGACTATTAACAAATATTTCACGATAAAAATGGTTCAGTGGTCAAATAAGTGTGGGAAGGTCTGAGTTAAACAAAGTTAAGAAAGATTATTTCCCCCAAGATTTTAAAAATTCTTTAATATAATGTATACATTGTGGCTCTGGGAATTTTAGATCTAAGAGGAGTTAACAGAAAGTTTACTGCTTTCTTTACCCTAAATCTGTTTATTTGGTAGTATGCTTTTATATTCAAGTATAACATTTATGAACCTGTTTTGTAGGAAAGAGTTCTTTATCACAAATTATGCGGGAGGACATTATCCCAATGCTTAAATGTTAGAACCAGGTGAGTCTTCCAATACAGTATTGGGTTGTACATGTGCGAGTCATAGATATAATAAAATTGCCATATAGCTCTGTGAAAGATGGACATTCTAATAATACATATTGAATTTTTCATGCTAAACAGTCTCCTATGTGCTTCTGAACAATTAAACATGTTTTATGGATTTAAAAAATTGTTTCAGGAGAGTGGTTAAGTGCTAAATACAGAAGACTGTCAAAGTGGCCTAGTGGGGAATCCAGTGTGTTTTCCATTGTACTATGCTGCCTCAAACATGATTCTGGCATATCCAACTCAAATTTACCTGGATTTCTCAACTTCTATACTCATTCTAGTTACTCCTAGCATGGGACATACCTGTACCTGTGTCTTATTTCCTGTTCTTCCATTGCCCTTCCTGAATGACTATCATCAATTTCTATCCTCTCAGAATCTTTGACTAATCAATATTTATTGATCATTCATTATACTTTCATTGCTGTCACTACTTAAGAATAAACTAAAAGGTAAATCATGTCTTCAGGATCACACAAAGTTTGAGGTTATTAGGTTTATTAGTACTTAGACCCAACTCTAGTGCTCATGCTCTTCACCACTATGCATATTTCCATGACCTACTTCCCTCCAAGTGTCACTCCTACATATGAATTATTCAACTCTTATATATTTCCTGTACCATTCACAGATCCCTATCATATAAGACCATGTTTCATTTGATAATGTGTCAGTTTCTAAATAGGTTACAGATGAATTAAAACATAGGAATCATATCCCGGCAATATTAAGTAAGTTGGCTGATGTGATGTGATGGTGGTAGAAAAGTTGAAAGCAAAAAGGACTACAGAACCTGCCTTTGATATTCACTAAACCTGCTTTTGATATTTACTAAAACTTTCATTAAGTTTGATAGTTAGATTCAGGAAATGTTCAGGAAAATGTGAAATCCTGATTTCTGTATATAGTGTTCATGAATCTTTATAATCTAGCTCGAATCTGTTTTTCAAACCTCACCTTTCACTTCCACCATTCACAGGCCTTAGCAATTCTCTATCCACAATTTAAATTCTCAAAGTCTAACCATTCTGTACATTTCTTTGCCTTTGCCTACATAATTTTTGTTTGCTTCTCTGTCTGAAAATCTACTCATTCTTCAAAAACAGGTCCATTATTCTCCTCTTAGCTAGAGAGCAATTATTACTTCCTTTCTGATCTCTATTAGAACATTTACAACATTGCTTGGGACTAGATACAAGTGCCTACATATCTATCTTTAAGGAAATTCCATCACTCAGAGGAGAAGAAAATCGGTAATTATTAAAAATGTGAACCTTAAGCTTAGGTATATCTGGATTCAAACTCCGACTCTGTCACTTATTAGTTACTCTGTCACTTATTAGTTATTAGGAACTTGGCCAAGATGTTTAACATTTCAAAGTCTCAATCCCCTTCCGCATAAGTAAGGATATTAATAACCTTACAGAGTTCTTGCAAGGATGATACAATAAAATACACATAGTTCCAAGCATATCAAAAGCATAATGAATTTTGTGATATGATAATCATGATTGATAGATCTTTGTGTTTCAATCATTAACACTGACTGAAACCTTCTATATACTTACATTTTTGCAGAAGGCATATATGAAAATATGAATGCTTGTATATTTGTTTTTTCATTACCCACAAATAACATATACATTATGACCATCATGAATTCTTACAGATTCAAATGAAAGAGAACACGCCCAGAAGTATGTTGCCTGCTATTCTGGAAACTGAAGAACATAATTAATAAAATTAGAGAAAAATAAATATTCAAGTGACACAGGTAAGTATATCTAATGAGTGGCAAAACATAGGCCTCCTGAATGTCTGGTCCACAGAGTGCCTTTCAGGTTAGCAAAATATCCATGCAGGTATGACTGAAGATGAAGTGTGGCAAAATATGGGTAGCCATGCTTTACAACAAACTAAGAATGAATAAGATTTTGCCACTTATAATTCTTATGGTTACAGATTTTCCTTATTAAGGTCTGAAGTTTGTTTCCTCTTCCTTCTCAGCATTTTACTTCCAAAAGTCTTTTTCAACAAAGACACTAAGTCAGAGACAAAAAGCAAATGAGCAAACAACAACAACTACAACAAGAAACCTCTTATTTTTATTCATCTTTTATTCTAAGGAGAATCTGAGTGGACCAGGGATCTGACACGGGATCTTGCCTTAATCAAAGGATCATTGGATGCGTCTATTAGGGCTGCGACACTTATTTTAGGGAGCTGTGTATGTGTTCTCAATTAATTAGCAGAAAGCATTTAGACTGATTTCTAGTTCACAGTATGCACTCAGTAGGCATTGTGGTTTTAATTGGAATTCATAATTACTTCATTGTAAAATAAATTGTATCCCCATTTTGTCTTGCTTTTGCTGTTTTCTCTGAGTTTCTAGAGAAGACAGTGAACTGAAAATGCCTTTCTGAAGAAGTGTGTCTGTGGGGTGGGGGTCGGGGGGTGGGGTGTAAATGCCAATATCCATACAGTGAGTGTGCTCCCTCATGCTTTGGAAGCCCTGTATCCACCTTCCTTTAGTGATTCACAGGCAAGTGAGATTTTTAATTTTATAGTTTTGAGCTTTTTCATTATTCCTATGCTTTCTTTACCTTCAGGCTTTGTTGAATTAGAATGAGAACTTTAAATGGGAAGTTTGGCACTGAGGAAGCATCATTGGGAGACGGCTGAATACCTGCCAACCTCTGTTTGCACTCTGTCAGTATCAGAATTTTTGACAAGGAAACAGATTGCTTTGTCTTTACTTGCAATAATATAATTTTAACCTTCAAGTCTTCTTTAGTGAAAAAAAATTATTTTTGCTCAATGAAAACAATATGTGTAATTATTTTTTTCTACATTGTTTATCTCCATCTCCAAATAAATGCCTGTTGGATCCAAACCCTAATACTCAGAAGGGGTACAGAGTAGGTAAATCACCATTATTTATATATGAGATTATGAGATCCTTAAGAAAATGGGCTGTAAGTTGTTCACCTTGTGATTGCCCATGACTAGCACAGTGTCTGGGATTGTGTGGCTCACTATTAAAGTGGGGGGAAATAGGAGGTCCTAATTGTACAGAAAGAGATATGATTTTCGTAACCAATAGGTTCTTTAGATGTAAAATGAAGTAACAACTGACACCAATAGGTATAGAACACAGCTATAAGTAGCCCATAGGCATAGAATTGGAAGCCTAAGTCAGCATCTACTATGTGTCGTACACTGTACGATGTCTAGATACTTTAGATCCTTCTCCTTTAGAGAAAGAGAAGAAATATAACAGAGTTAGTGGCCTGGCGCAGTGGCTCTCGCCTGTAATCCCTGCACTTTGGGAGGCCCAGGTGGGAGGATCACGAGGTCAGGAGATCGAGACCACCTTGGCTAACATGATGAAACCCCGTCTCTACTAAAAAAAAAAATACAAAAAATTAGCCTGGCGTCATGGCGGGCACCAGTAGTCCCAGCTACTCAGGAGGCTGAGGCAGGAGAATGGCGTGAACCCGGGAGGCAGAGTTTGCAGTGAGCTCAGAACGCACCACTGCACTCCAGCCTGGGCAACAGAGCGAGATTCCGTCTCAAACAAACAAACAAACAAACAAACAAACAAAAAACAAAAATAAAAGAGAGACAGAGTTAGTGTAACGAATGCTACTATGCTATTATAGAGGCTTTAAAAACTCTTATGAGGACCCTGTACAGAGTATTACCCCTCCCTGAGAAATTCAAAAAAGACTTCACAGAAGAAATGGTATTTTAGCTGGGGCCTGAGATTCATTAGGAGTTTGCCAATTGAAGAAAGGCAGGTGGAATTTTAGGTGGAGGGAGGAAAACACAGATAGAGTCTGGATTTAACAACAATTTTCCGTTGAAAATAAAAGTTTGCAAACCTAAAATTTTATCTTAAAGATAAAATTATCTACTGTTAGATAGTATTGAAAGTAACTTTGTAATAAGATTTTTACCATTTGTATTGTTTATAGTCCAAAAGCTGGGTCCATTGGTCCCTTTCCCGCCAAACGGGGTATTGTCATTAGGGTGACCTGCACCCTGCTGAAAGCAGTATGTCTGATGTGCAAGGCACAAAGACATTGTTTAAAGAACCCTTATGATTTTGAACAAACTGGCCCAGCAGGGAGGTTTTAACCTGCTCACCCTAACACGCACAACAGCCTGTGTTTGTAAACAGAGCCTTATTGCACTAGTGAGAGCAGACTCAGAACAGTGTCAGCTCATTAATTGGGTGTCAGCTCCATGCTGAGAAAAAAGCTTAATGAGTCATCTCATCATAAAGAACTGTGGCTCAAGGGAGGGGTGAATTTCTTAGAGAGAGGGGGAAAGATTTGTCCGGCAATAACTGCGTGTATAGAAAAGCTTGAAGCCCACCTGCTGGGATAAAGAGAGAGCAGCATTTGGGAACGGATGGTTTCTCTGCATTCTGCTATTCAAAGCGAAACCTGAGTTTATGAGTTTATAAATGCAGCAATTACCAGTGTGTATATTCAGATTTATTGGTAGTTTAATAAATTGAAATCATTTAAAACACATTTTTGTATAACATTTATAATTTTTCTTTTTTTCCCCTCAATATAAAAACTATTCTACATTTTCTCATAGAATTTCCTATGACAAAGCACACGTTAATCAATGCTCATATTGAAACTCAAATATATTCTTGACGTCAACTGCAAACATTATTAAAGGCTATCAAATTTATGCTGTATGTTTTGTAGATAGTCATAAGACAATATTAAACTAATTAACAAAAAACAGCCTTAAACGTAGAAAAAAACCTCCTTTCTGTGTTATTATTTTAAAATCTATCCCAATATTTGCAGTAGAAAGTATTTTAGGTTTTCATGTAGTGCTCCAGGCTTATACCTAATATTCATTATTAGAACACTGTGTTCATCTTGAGTCATTGGTCTTATTAATTTGTAACATCGCTTAATATTAAATTGTCAGCCCATTGTTATATATTTTCCATAGTTTGTGTTCATATTTTAACTTTGCCTCTGGTATTTTTGCCATGAATTTGATAAATGAATTATTCTAAGTGTTTTTCCTTATGTCGCTATTTTTCTTAATTCCCAAAGAATCTCAAAATCTCTATTCTTTGCTCACTGACTTCTCAACGTAAGTGGCCTTTTTAGACTTTTTGATCCCTCTTATCAAGTCACTAGTTCTTTCTCTCATCCTCATTCCACGTCCCCTCCCCAAGAAGTGTTTCAATAGTTAATGCGTAATGTATTTTGCTGAGAAAATTCGGGAGATTTATTTATCACTTCCATAAAAATGAGATTTTCTTCTCCTCTCTAGAATTCAGCTGTTGTGGTTTTTTAAATGTGTTAACTTCAAAAGTGTTGACTCTCCAGTGGGAGTCTCTATTCCTCCTCCTTAAATCTGGATAGGCTTGTGACTGCTTAGACAAATAGGTACAAGTGGCACTATGTAGAGGGTGCATTGACAAAAGGTGCAAAACTTCTATTTTGTTTGCTGAAATACTCCCTTATGGAGACACGAGTTGCAAAATAAAAAATCCAGCTACACTGAGACCACCATCTTGGAGAGCCATAAGAAGAGGCCACATTGAGAGTCTCTGCAGTTACATACAGGGAGGAAGCTATTTGAGTAATCCCTGCCCACAAACTAGACATGTGAGTGAAGATGCTCTAGAGGTGTCAGGTTTCCAGCTGTTCAAATATTCACAGCTGAGACCCTAGATATTGTGGAACAAAGACAAGCCACACTTGCTGAGCCCTGCCCTAATTCCTTACTCACAGAATCCATGAGTATAATCAAATAATTTTTTGGAGGGTGAGTCATTTTGCAGTAATAGATAATTGGAATATCTGTCTACCGTTAAGCCTCCCTCCAGTAAATAGGAAATCTTTTTAAACACACTTTCCAGCATTTAATATCTCTTTCTATCCAGTACCTTTCTTGTGTCTTCTTTAAGTAAGTTTAAGAGTACAGTTAAATAGATATCCTTGACTGTTACTTTCTCAGATTTTTCTTCAATTTCATCTTACGTTGCCAATTACCGTTTTAAAGTTTTATCTCTAGGCGTTGCGTTCACTTTCTTCTTCTGATTTCCCTCCTTCTGTCTCCCAGGACCACCTAAACTGAAGTAATATACCACTCCTTAAACTTTCATTGTTCCCCTAGAAAACCTTTGTGAAAGCATTTGTTGTCTTCATTAAATAATTTTGTTCTTCAAAGGCAGAGACCAAGTCTTTTTCAGAGTTGTATTTTCAGTGTCTACTAGTGTGCACTGAAAGTAAGACAGCATTCAATTAATATTTGGATAAGAGAACTCCACCTATTTCTATACTGTCTACTCCTTTAAAATTTATTTTTATCGACATATAATAGTTTCACATATTTAATAGGTCCATGTGATATTTTGATACATTCATACAGTGTATAATGATCAAGTCAGGGTAATTAAACCACACATCACCTCAATCATTTTTTATTTATTTATCTTGTCTAGCTGCTTGGACTAGGGCTTCTAGTACTCTTTTGAATAAAAGGGCTGAAAGTGGGCGTCTTTATCTTCTTCCAGAACTTAGAAGAAAGGCTTTCAAATTTTCCCCATTCAATATGGTGCTAGCTGTGGGTTTTATATATACAGCCTTTGTTATTTTGAGGCATGTTTCCTCTATGCCCAGTTTGTTGATAGTTTTTTTCATCATGAATTGATGTCGAATTTTATCCAATTCTCTTTTGACATCTATTGAAGTAATCGTGTGGTGTTGTCCTTGATTGTATTAATGTAACGTATCAAGTTTATTGATTTGCATACGTAATGTGATACGTCCAACTTTATTCTTTTTGTTCAGTATTGTTTTGACTATTTGGGGTCTTCAGTGGTCCCATCTGAATTTTAGGATTGTTTTTTCATTTCTGGAAAAATGTTATTTGTATTTATACAAAGATTGCATTGAATCTGTAGATTGCTTTTGGTATTACGCACATTTTAACAGTATTAATTCTTTCATTCCATGAACAGAAGCTATCTTTTCATTTTTTTGTGTCTTCATCAGTTTTCCTCATTGGCATTTTATAGTTTTCATTGTAAAGATTTTAACTTCTTTAGTTAAATTAATTCCTAGTTAATTTATTTTTTGTAGCTAATGTAAATGAGATTGGATTTTTAAATTTCTTTTTCAGAATTTTACTGTTGGTGTATAGAAATGCTACTGATTTTTGTATGTTGATTTTGTATCCTAAAACTTTACTGAATTCATTTGTCATTTGTCAGTTCTGACAATTTTTGATGGAGTCTAGATTTTTCATTTGTGAACAAGGATAACTTGACTTATTATTTTCCAATTTGAATGTTCCTTATTTGTGTTGGGAACATTACAGGTACTCTATTCTAGCTACTTTGAAATATACAATAAATTATTGTTAACTGTAGTCACCCTAGCTGCTACAATTATTCATTCTACTTAGGTAAGGAACTCCGTGCATTCCCCAGGCAACTACTCATTTGCCACTATAGATTAATTTGCATTTTTCTAGAATTGTATATTAATGTAATAATAGAATATATATTGTTTGTTGGCCTGGCTTTTTTCTTCCATATTGTCATTCGTGCCATTTTTATTGCTAAATGATAGTCTACTAAGTACTATTTCAAATGTGTCTACTGCAATGTGTTTATAAATTCATCTGCTGATAGATAGGGGATGTTTTGTGCATAAGTTTTTATATGGAAATACGGTACAAGTGAAAGAGCAAAATCATGTAAGTGTTTGTTTTAAGAATGTTTTAAAAAGTATCATACTGTTTTACAATTGATTATACCATTTTATATTCCCACAAAAATATATTATAGTTCCACTTACTAATATCCTTGCCATCATTTAGTCAGTATATACAGTTTTATTTTAGTAGGTGTGTGATGGTATCTCATTGTGGTTTAAATGTTTATTTCTTACTGATTAATAATGAGTATTTTTTGTGCTGATCTGCCAGCTATATATCCTATGCTAAACTGTCACCTGAAGTTTATTGCCCACTTTTAATTGTGTGCTTGTTTTCTCAATTTTGAATTTAGAGAATCCTTATATCGTTTATGAACTGCAAACATTTTCTTGCTGTCTGTAGATTTTTTTCCATTTTCTCAACTATATTTTCCTTTCTTTCTAACTTTTATTTTAGTTTCAGGGGTATACGTGCAGGCTTGTTACATGGGTAAATTGCATGTCATGGAAGCTTTTTGTACAGATTATTTTGTCACTCACGTAACGAACATTGCACCTCATAGGTGGTTTTTTGATCCTCACCTGCTCCTACTCTCTCTCCTTAAGTGATCCCTGGTGTCTATTGTTCTCCTCTTTGTATCCACATGTACTCAGTGTTTAGTTCCCACTTATAAGTGAGAACGTGTAGTTGGTTTTCTGTTTTTGCATTAATTTGCTTAGGATAATTGCCTCCAGCTCCATCCCTGTTGCTGAAAGAACATAATTTCATTTTTATTAGAGCTATGTAGTATTCGATGATGTATATGTGCCATATTTTCTCTATTTAATTCATCATTAAAGGATTCTACGTCTTTCCTTTTGTAAATACTGCTATAATGAACATATATGTGTGCATGTGTCTTCACATAGAACAATTTATATTTCTTTGGCTATATACCTAGTAATGAGATTGCTGGGTAAAAAGGTGGTACTCATTTAAACTCATTCAGAAATTTCCAAACTGTTTTCCACAGTGACTGAACTAATTTACATGTCCACCAGCAGTGTATAAGCTTTCTCTTTTCTGCACATCCTCACCAGCATCTGTTATTTCTGGACTTTTAAATAATAGCCATTCTGACTAGTATGAGATGGTATCTTATTGTGGTTTTGATTTGCACCTCTCTGATTAGTAATGTTAAACATTTTTTTCATTTGCTTGTTTGCTACATGTATGTCTTGTTTTGAGAAGTGCCCATTCATGTCCTTTGCCCATTTTTTAATGGGGTTGTTTGGTTTTGCTTGTTACTTTGTTTAAGTTTCTTATAGATATGGGATATTAGACCTTTGTTACAAGCATAGTTTGCAAATATTTCCCCCCATTCTGTATGTTGTCTGTGTACTCTCCTCCTAGTTCCCACTACTGTGCAGAAGCTCTGTAATTTAATAAGTCCCACTTGTCAATTACTGTTTTTGTTGCAATTGCTTTTGGAGTCTTTGCCATGAAATCTTTGCCAAAACCTATGTTCAGAGTAATATTTCCTAGTTTTTCTTCCAGGGGTTTTATAGGTTTGGGTTTCATATTTAAATCTTTAATCCATCTTAAGTTGATTTTTATATATGGTGAAATGTAGGGGTCCAGTTTCAATCTTTTGCATATGGCTAGCCAGCTATCCCAGCATCATTTATTGAACAGGAATTCTTTACCCCACTGCTTGTTTTTGTCAGCTTTGTCAAAGCCCTTGCGTGGGTTTATTTCTGGGTTCTCTAATCAGTTTCATTTGTGTATGTGTCTGTTTTTCTACCGCTACTATGTTGTTTTGGTTAGTGAGGCCTTGTAGTACATAGTTTGA